TGAGCCGCTGTCTTTATCCTCCAGCAGGATTTCGGTCAATTCCTTGATAATCTCTTCAGTCTTTGGAGTCACTGTCGGGTGGAACACTGGCTTTCCATCTGCAAAATAGTGAAATTTCAGCAAAAGATTTTCCAGATGATCTGCAGTGAGATACTACCTTTATAAAAATCTTCGTTCAAAAGAATTACTAAGAGTTAAAGGTGTGTGAAGACTATTTAAACTCGTGCTTAGTATTTCTCATCTACCCCAATGATGGAAATCAGTGAACCTATTGGAGAGAAGGTGGTGTTGAGGACACTTTTCCGGATAAACTCGGTTCCCGCTTTCCCATTTTGAAAAAAACTTCACATGTACTCTGTAACGTGGAGTGGATCGGTCTCAATAATCGAAAATAGTGAATGTCCTACATGAAGGCAGAATAAAGCACTCCAATTTTCAATCTTCGTTTTTTCATCACTGTTAATAAATTACCATCCTTGACGACCCTTCGAAGAAGTAAAGGGTTAAAACCGTCGGGACCTTTTGCGGCAGGTAAAATGATTTGTTAGCGAAGAAGTGTTCGTTCTGAACCGTGAAAGGAGAGCAGTGTGTAGAGGTGTAGAGAAGGAAACTCCTTGTGCACTAATCATAACTGCGCTGAGATTGAAAGATTACTTTAATGATCAAATATACAATGCCTATTATTCCTCCTTCGAAGTATTCTGTCGGGTGATTGTTAATTGCCATCCTCGTGATGTATAAAAACCAATGAAAATTATCGGTTCAGAGCCTAATTACAATGATTTTATCTTTATTTTTCCAATGAAATAAGCAAAGACTGATAGAATCAAACTTTTTGCCGTTCTATTGCTTTTCGGGAGTTTTCTTTCTTCAAAGGCGAAGGTTTGCATAAGCTGCCCTTCCAATGTTGGACTTGCGTACAATCTGTTCCTGCCGGCATCAAAAAAGTACTATGTTTGAACTAAACGAGGCAATTTTCAATTCTTGTTTCCCTCGGAACCCTTCATCATCTCAATGGACTAGCGACATCACTTCAAAGTAAGAAGAAGCCTTCAGCGATACTACAATCAAGCTGAGCAACACTTTGCATTGGGGAATTGGGCGAACATTTCAAATGATAAGGAGATGATTAGGAATCTGCGAAAGGCAAACGATTCCGGCTGCTTCCTCATGTTTATGATATTGCAACGTTTTGCAAAAATATTGGTTCCATGGAAGAGGTTCAGTGACCATATGGTCTAACAAGTAAGATAGTAAGTGTAAGTATGGATAAGGTAAGACGGATATACAGTAGCGCTCAAAAGTCTGCGGTGAAATGGTTCTTCAGCCGTACTTTTCAGGAATAACTCCTTTCCTACTGGATCTAATCATGCGAAATTTCTATATTTTAAGCGTGGGTGTATTGTGAATATTTACCACTATTCACCTGCAATCTGACTATGTTCCAGATATTCCAGAAGCGTAAACACAAAATCGACTGAAAATACAATTGATGGCCCTTCTAGAATCTCTTTCCTTTTTGTCATGTCTAAAGTGTACAAGCGGTAACGCCGAACACAATAGATGAGAAAAACGAACAGAAGGTGTGAATAAGTGCAGACGTCAACAACTTTACTTTTAGCAAAACTGTTTATCTGTGGATATTGCAGCTTTGCTGTCAAATAGTGTTGGGTTGGGTGAAATATGCTCTACTGAACAAATCCAAATTTCGCTCAAGATGTCGTCAATGGGTTAAGAACATTATGTCGAGCTGTAGCCCAAAATATTTTTACTGTGTTTAGAGGAACAATTAACCTTATTGTTCAAAAATATAGCGTGCTCAAAAAGGTTACAATCAAGACAATAGTTCAAAACTAACAAACAAAAGACGATTGTAGCGGTTTGAGTACTTCGAAATGTAGGAATCATCAAAACCATTAGCCATTGATAGGAAGACTATGTGATTTTTTGGAATAATTTTGTCACTCAGAGATTATATCTTTGCAGCAAGTAAGATACACTCGACTACCAATATCTCATTTCACTCGAGATTCGAGTACCCGATAGTATAAAATAGCCATGCGGCGCACTGTGATTGTTTTACCGCACACAACGTATCATAACAGGAGGTAACGCCAAACTACGACAATGAGGAGTGGTGGCAGTGTATAAATACTCGTTAGAATCATGTAGAAAACAACTTGAAATCAGTTATTATGGCTCTTAAAAATCAAAAGAAAGACAACGTGACAGTATGAACGACCTTGGTTAGTAGCAGCAAAAGTATCCCTATAAATAGTCACAGCGGTTTTCTTGTAAGATACGCATCGCAGTACCTTTTGTAAGGTTTCCAACAGCTTCACCCAATTCAAATAATTCCGTCTGAAGAGCGTCTGTGATGAATTTTCGTCTTTTCAACACACTCCACCCTTTCTTCAATGACAACTCGTCTAACAGCTTTCTCGAGTCGAAAGGGTCACCAATATGAATTTCAACCTTCTGAAGAAAAAGGTAATAATTTCATAACGAGGAAAATCAACATAAGGTAAGACTAGTGAAACATACATGCCCAAACCGAGGATAATAAGGCGGGTGGTTTGGCCAAACACTGGACATGTTGGTACACCAAATAGGAAGTATTAGTGGAGGAACGACAGTGTCCTCAACCAAACGACCGACTCCCCACTTGAACCTTCAATAAATACAAGTCAGTTTCAGTTATAATAGTCACATAAAACAAACTTATATCTGAAGTACGAGGGCGGCAGAGACTACATGACATACACACAGAGTTTATGCCTTGCGTAAACTAGGGCAGAATAGTGATTCTGCAACTTCACAACATGAAATTGTTGCTGCGAGAAGTTGGAATTAAAATTTCGGGTTCAAACAATCCTTCGATTTCGGGTGTAAGCCATTTTTTGGTCAGCTGTACACAATACATATCAACACAAGCAGATGCAGAGTATGTTATTTACAACGGTGACCTACAGCACATGCCTAATTGAACAATAATAGATGACTATGCTTGCTAAGCGGACTCCGGCGAAAATGATACGAGTCAAAGTGGAACAGGATTGAACTATGTGCCTCAATTGT